CCTGCCTATGCAGGGGGTCGGACTCAATGATCTATTGAGGTCCCTTCCAACCCTAACATCTATGAATCTATGATGTTAGCTTAAATCATATGTCTAACAGTATACAGACGTAGCGTATTCAATAGTTCCATCAGGACGCAACAGACAACCAATTTCCTGGATCTTGAAAAAGGAGCCAATGTGCACCACTGAACCAGGTGATATCAGAGGCAGTTTCCTTTATGTGCTCTGCTAGTCATTTGCTGTGAAATCTGGGACAAGTCACTCACATTTCCACATTTTACAACTAGGATAACAACTTTCTATTTTGGCAGCATCAGGTGTGCTACCTACACAAGGGCTTTCCATAATCAAAGGGTTCTCTGTTAGCCCTGAGCCAACGCTCTGATGCAGGGCAGGTGAGGGATGGGAAGAACTATAATGAAGGGTTGGGAAGAACTACAATGAGAATGACTTGGGCCAATTGGTGGGGGTATTCCCCTCCCCCACCAATCAGAAGAACATAGGAAAGAGCTTGACTTAAGGGCAAGGTGAAGAAAAGGACCTGAGGGGAAACTAACCCCTCAGGCTTTCCCATTGGTCCATTCCCAATATGGGGGTGGCGCCTCCATGAATAAAAGCCCACATGCCCAGGACATGGGTGGCTTCAACAAGGGACAACGAAGAAGGGCTGCAAAAGAGCTGACCAGTGGGGCGGAACAGTTGCCCTACAAGTATCCTGAAGATGCATACACCGAGAGGAAGTAGCAGCATCAGTGCACAGATCGGTGCAGAGAGGATCCAGGGAATGGACGTGACCTTGGTGGCTGCATGAGGCAGCGCAGGTCCCTAACTCTGCACAAGGCAGGAGCCCTCAGTGCATGGAGTGGTGCACAGGGGTGGAGAGCTGGAGGGATCACCGTGGCTGCACAAGGCAGTGCAGGTCCCCATCCCTGCACAAGGCAGGCACCCTTTCAATGCACAGGGCAGTGCACAGGGCTGAGAGAGGGCTGCATAAGGCAGCTTGGGCCTTCGTGCAGCAAGCAGTAACCAGATGGGTCAACCACCCCAGAGAGGGAGGACACCCACATCCAACCCACAGATAGAGACAAGCCTAGCCCTCCAAAGATACTTGGAGTCATGAGTTACCCAGGAAGGGGATTTCCACAGGGTAGACGTGGCCCTCCCTGCTTTGGGTGATCAAAGGGAAGCCCTAACAGGGAGGGGGACCATTTGCCCTTAGGTGTAGAGAGAAATCAAGGGCCCCTGTTTGTTAAAGGGTGGTTTCATGGTTACAAGGCCTCTACTAGTTGTGTGACCTAAGAGAGGGGGATGGTGTTCCTTTAAGGTAATGGGTTCCTTTTCCGGGTACCATTTCGTCTTGGGCACAGCTTCTGTGCCATTGTTGTGTCCTGGTTCCTCGTGTTGTTGGGATTTTTGGTGTAAACTTCCATCCTTATTATTGCATTATGAGACGATTGTAAGCTTCTCTATTTAGCCTGCTAGTAGGGTCTGCTAGCTCAGCCCCGACTCTATACCTGAGTTCATTGTATTGGTTATCTTTATGCATTTGTATCTCATTTGCTATAATCTCACTGTGTATGTTCAGTTATTGTCCCATCACTGCTAGATTATCCTTTGTTAATCTGCTGTCTAACCTGTGTTTTATCATCAAGTGTTCCCTTGTCTGCTGCCTGGAGGGCCCTATTAAGGGCAGGGGCCGCATACTAACTGGAAGGCCACAGAGGATCAAGGCCTGCGCCTGAGTTCAGGGTTAATACGAGTTACTATCTTTGTAAACCTATATTTGTAACTAACGCGTATGTGTGTGTATTTTATATATAAATATATAAAATATGTATATAAGTATATAATATAGTACAATTAAACCTGTAAATAGTTAAGTATCACTGGGTGTCCCTGGTATCTGCTCTGCTCTGCAGGGAAAGGAGGTGAGCTGGTCTGCAGCTAAGCAGTCACGCTCCCACAGCATACATGCACCCACTGATATCCCTTCAATTGAAAGAGGGTGTACCAGCCACATACCACCAGGGTTACATGAAAAAGAAGCCATTGTGCTCCATTGAACCAGGAGATATCAGACTTTGTTTCCTTTACCTGCTCTGCTACTCATTTTCTCTGAAACCTGGGACAAGTCACTCATGTTTCCATATTTTAAAACTAGGATAACAACTTTCCACGCTGGCAGCATCACGTGTGCTACCTAGACAAGGGCTCTCCAAGTCTCCGTAATGACAGGGTTCCCTATTAGCCCTGAGTCAAGGCCCTGAAGTAGGGCAGAGAGGGTTGGGAAGAATGAGAGCTGACTGTCTTACTTCTGTTCTCCAGTTCCCAGGTCAGATCCGTCCTATATCTCAAAATAAGAGTCGTGTGAAAAATGGCTTAAAACCACCTGCTCCCTGCTCTCTATTGCTGCACCATATACTGGGATATGGTAACAAAGAATCAGATTCCATGCCTCTTGCCCCTTCCTCTCCCTATCTTTGCTTCTTCCTCCTCCACGTTCTACTGAAAAGAAATAGTTACAGTGATCTGAGATAGGTACAGGATAGCTCAAGTTATTTAGGATATCGGTGGAGTGTGATACATCATTTGTTTTGATCACTGTATAAAAGGAGTATTAGAAATTACAGCAACTTTGTTTTGGCCTAGGGGAGTCTACATGAAGTTGTGCCAATACCCTGGGAAGTGTGATGAGAGCTCACTGTCTTCCTTCTGTTCTCCAGTTCCCAGGTGAGATCCCTTGTATCTCAAAATAAGAGTGGTGTAAAGATGGCTTAAAACCACCTTCTTCCTGCTCTCTATTGCTATCCAATTTACTGGGATATGGTAACTGAGAATCAGGTTCCATGCCTCTTGCCCCTTCCTCTCCCCATCTCTGCTTCTTTCTCCTCCACATTTTATTGAAAAGAAATAGTTACACTGATGAGAGATAGACTCATATGTCTTAAGTGTCTGGAGCTGAAGTTCAAGCAGCCTGTCTAATGGATACTGCTACAGCAGGCTGTATGACTCAGGGAAAGGGACACTGGTCCAGTAATCAAACACTGTGATTTTGCCTGCCAATGACTCACTGGGCAATATTGTCCAAAGACAGCAACTTCCCCAGGCCTAAGGTGCCCTAACTGGTGATAAATGTTTTTCCACCTCTTGCACCCAGAGAACTGTCAGTGAGGATCACTGGGTACTTGCTGCCTATGGAAGGTTTGGGGTCTCTACATCATAAGAGAGGTTAAAGTATGAAGCAAATGTAGGTATATTTTGCTTTTGGTCTTAATCATCATTTTAAAATGGACCAAAACTAGCTTGAACTTCATTTTCCTAATATTTTTTTTGTTCCAAAACCTTATCACTATACTAACAAATACCATGGCAAGTCCTTTGTTGACCTGATGTTACATGAAGATGTAACCTAAAGTTACAGGTTCTTGCAACATCACTGCAAGGGATTACCAGTCTCCATGGAATTTTTATTTTTTTAATTTGGTTTCAATCTACAGTCCCATGTGGGTGGCTCTGGAGGCACAGAACTCACTTATTTTAGGGTATGTGGCCCCTGGGAAGCACAAATATTTGGCCAGATTTGGGGCTGCAGATCAGGCTTGCAGAACTTCAAGTTCCAGTTCTCAGCTCCACAACAACAAGGTTGGGATCACTGGGTCTTCAGGCAGGACTTTAGAGCACCAAGCCTGGAAACCCTGTCTACCCTTGAACCAATGACTTCCCTTGAACCACAGACCTTGAACCTTGTGAGTGCCCCACAGAAGGCGGGCAGGGTTCAGCTGATATCCTACGTCTGAGTTGCTGAAAATTCATTGAGCCTGAGGTGTTCCAGATGAAACTACTAATTTGTGTATAAGAAATTGGCATCTTTTGAAACAAAAACAAAAAAAACAACCAAATAATTTACAACAGGCTCTAAGCACTTAATTTCACCCAGAGCGCACTAAAAACAATCATGTTTCCTTCGCCTTTAAAGCCAGGTACAGACATTCAAAAAGGCTGAGGCAGAATTGGTCTAAACTATGGTTTTCTGTAAGTGCCATAGTTTAAATCAGTAGTGCATATAACACATTCACCCTTTGGTGAGGGCACCGGGGGGGGGGGGGGGGGGCCATTTTTTCTCTTCTGTTCTTGGTATAGACTGTTTTTGAAAGCAAAACTTCTGTTCTGTCACAGATATAGAGTGATTTCCAAACACTTCTATTGGAAAAAGTGTAATGTCTCTAGCTGACCTAAATGTCTTCCTAGAGTTTTCCAGCAAAGACAGGAAGCAAGGTCTTGATTTTTTCTTACGTTAAACGCTATGAAACCAATGGACAACCCTCTACACCCCCTTCCAGAAAAAAAAGTAAAAAAGAACCTAGTACACCATATGCAAACAAGCTTACGTATGATAAAGGAGTGGTATTTTTTTTCACTCTACATCTGTAGAATATACTAGTAGATAATGAAGTCAATTTACCAGTTGAAAGAAAGTTAATTTAAAAATGTTAAATGACTATTTTAATGAGGACTGGCATATTGCAGTTATGTCAGGCACCCACTGGCATATTCTTGCTCAGGTGTTTTCCTTGTTGAAATTATTACCTCATTTTGATAGGAAATATCCTGGTTCCGTGGTGTCTGCAGGTTCTGGGAACTCTTGACCTTGTCTTCGTTAAAAAATGTTTCCCTTGCAGGAGTGCTGGCCATACTGAAAACTTGGGACCTAGCATATTAAGATTAGACATTTATAAGTGACTGGAAGTATGCTACACATTTAACAAAACATATTGAAGACGCATGCCTCTTGTATCAAAGGAATTTAACATCTAGATAGAGACAATGAATACAGTAGGCTGATAACAATAGGGATAATAGAAGGGAATTAATCTCAGGACCCCTCTTTTGTTATCTAGTAACACTTTTTACAGAGCTGTTGATTTGGACTGCCACTCCCAGAAACCCCCAGGGGCAGGGGGCCAAGTATAAAGGGAAAAGGAAGCTTAAGGCTGGAGTAGGGGAAGAGAAAGCAGTGTGCACATGGCACTTGGTCAGCCCTGGGTGGCGGAGTGCACAGTGGAGCTGGAAATCTCACTGTCTTGGTCAGCCAGGACTGTGGACTGAAGGAGCTGGACTCAGACTTGTGACACTAACCCCTATGATTTTCTATATAGAAGTGGGACCTCCCCTTTGCTTCTTGTGCCAATTTGTGGGACTGCAGACACAAAACGATGTGCCACAAATTGGCACAAGTTAGTGGCAGTTGTGGGATACTGAAGGGGGCTATCCCACAAGTGAGGCAAAAGGGAATTGGAGGACACAGGCCATAAGGCTCAGGGCAAACTGCTTCAATGAGTGTATCAATGTTGTTTGTTGCGTGGGCATTTAATCAGGGCAGATGAGTTGCATGAAGGGGGGGCCATGCCCCGTGGGAAACACCCTCCCCCCCACCTAGTGTCTCAAGGCCTACCTTCAATCCAGCCCCCTCTAGTGGGGAGGAACAAGAACGGGGTGACAATTTGAAATGGCAGCTGAGTTAAATGGGTGGAATGAGGACACGAAGCCAAAATTCCTGAGGCCGTTGCTAACAGGGAAGGCCAGGGACCTCTACGGTCGGCTCAGCGGTGAAGCCAAACAGGATTAACAAGCACGTGACAGCGGCCCTCAGGAATGTTTTGGGACCAGGCACAAGTCCTGTCTGGGACCGTGCAGCTTTCTTTAATTGTAAGAAGACTTCAGTAGAACATGCATTATATTCAGGTTATACTGTTTGGATTCAGCTAGATCAAAGCAGATAAGAAAATGAGAGTTCTGTGAGAGAATTACAGAAATCCAGGGACAGACATTTTATACATGATTTTTTATCAGAACTGTCGGAAATCTACATATTTCCTATCTGACCACAGTAATCCAGGAGACTGGCTCAATTACACACTAAAGGACTGAAATACTGAAACTAAAGGCCTAGAAGGAGCCTCTGACTTTTCCTGAAAGGGGATAAAATACTGATAAGCACTGAGACTCTCTCCAGTTTCTTTTCAAGATCTGAGGAAATCCAAGTGACACCTATTGCAGTTCGCTGTTGCCCAAGAAAATCAGCTCTGAACAAAAAGAAGAAATACAAATATTTGTGTGCGCGCCTGCATTTAAGTTTAGAAGTATGAATGTCATGCACAAACTTTTTCACACATAGCAGATGCTTTAAATCAAATTTTCATACCATGTACCTATAGGAAATAAACAGGGTAGAAGCATCTAGGGGAGGGAGGACAAATTTAATAGTGAATTCTTTTAGTTCTAAAAGGCACTTAAGAAGTATTTTAAGTGATGTTACTATCTGGGGAGACAAGTTCAGTAAGTGTAAAGAAGGAATAGATTGACAAAAATGGTGACAACTCTGTACTTTCTTATGCACATTGTGACACAGCAGCAGGTAAGCCCTGCCACGAAGAACTGAGAGATGAATGAATCCCTGGAGGGGGAAAGTGTCCACGTGATCAATCTAAGTGTTATAAAGGGCATGAAGCCTGGGACTGTAATTATTGGTGTCTGCTGTGGCAAGGAGTTGCAGTGGACTGGAAGTTCCACTGATAGGGACAGACAGACAGCTGGGGTGAATTTAAACCCTCCTGAAAGGGGAGACCAGAGGGCTGCACAGAGGTGCAGTGTATGTCTGAGCTACCCAAGACTGTGATAAGTGCTAGAGCAGAGCTGACTTGCTGAGGGTGGGGCTTCCTGTGGCACAGCATCCTGGAAAGCTTAGCAAGGATCCCATTGGTGAGCCAACTTCCCTGGGATGGTAGTCTGGAGGAAGGAAGTAAAAGGGGGAAGTAAACACACAATCAGTCACATGGGAGGCAGCTTCCCTGAGAAGAGGGAGTTAAAGACTATGTTACTTAGGGGACTATGCTGGCTAATATATGCAGAGCCTGTCAGGGTGGTGAGTTCAAGTGAACTGATGGACTTGAGGACCTGAAGGAGAACTTGAGAGGAGAGTGTCCCAGGGTTATGCAGATTAAATAACATTGAGGCCAAAGACACTGTGACAACTTTTTGAGCATGACTAATCAACTGAGGAAATTCAAAACTTCAAAGTACATTGGTCTGGACGGTAGAAGACTGGATTTAGGAAGAATGAGGCTTGTAATCTGAAGGCACCATAACACCTGGAGTGGTAAGGGCAGGGGATGGCAATGGAGGAGACCTACAAAGAGAGCAGGTGACCAGTTAAGGTGCAAAGAGGACCAGCTGTTCTACCTCCCGAGATTTACATCTTTCTTTGGCTTTCTTTCTTTCTTTTTTACATAAAAGATGTGGCCAGTGAGTTCCAAAGATGGACCAACTGGTCCTGGCAAACTAACTGTAACTTACTGCTTGGCAGGAGCAAGGACTTCTACACATGTAAAGTCACAGGTAAAGTCAGTTAAAAAGTCACAGGATTATAGGAAAATAGGGCTGTGAGGGAGCTCGGTGGAAGCTCTAATCCCTGCTCAAGGCAGGATCACCCCTGGCTAAACCATAAGTGCTGGTCCAAACTTCTCCTAAGAAATTCTGAGGGTATTCCAAAACTGAACCATCATCACTATTAGAAAGCTCTTCCCAACATCGAAGCTCAATTTGTCTTGTTGCCATTTAAGAAAGTTACTTCTTGTCATGTCCCTGCAACTGCAGAGAACGTTCTGTTGCCAGAACTGTCCCCTGCCTGTGACCGCCTTTCAGCTATTTGAAGACTGTTACTGTATCTGTGAAGAAGCCTTCTCTTCTTCAGAATAAAAAGGTCCAATTCTTTCAACCTCTTGTAAATCAAGTTTTCTAGACCTCTAGTTATTTTTATTGTTCTGTACTGGACCCTTACCGATTTAGTCTACATCCTTGCTGAAGTGCAGTACTCAAAACTGCAAATCATACTCTAGCAGAGGTCTCACCAGTGCTGAGTAAAATGGAAAAAAAACCATCACTTGACTTGCAAGCAACACTCTTATTAAAACAACCCAATATGCTATTTCACCTTTCTATTTTGCAGTGTCTTACTGGTTGGTTTATTGCAAGGGCCTGTTTACTGAGCCATTGCAGAATAATGTATGGAAGCCAACAGTAATTACTAACACAACATTCAGGATTTTGAAAACTCCAGCCTGGGAGTTTAATTTCGGGTAAACTCTGCAAAGACTTGTCTACATGTTGCAAGCTGGTGCAATGCAGAAACATATCAGCTAGTTTTGTGCATGCCACTCCTGAGACAGAACCAGGATAGCCATATTTGTACAATGCAGTGCCTGGGTTATTTAGCTCTGCTGAGAGGCTGGCCTCAATATTTGGGGTACAAAGCAATGTGAATTCAGCTGTACACCTACTGGGAAAGCTAGCTCAACTAACACTGCACTTCACCGACTTATTTTGGATAGAGCCACCAAAGTCCTGAAGAGCCACAATCTTGGCCTGTGCTTCAGGACACAAGCAAGCTGAAGTGTAGGAAAAGGGATTGTAAGCAAGCTTTGTAACACAATTGTATTAAACAGTCATTTTACTTACTTTTTCCCATTTATTTTCCTTAGTACTATGATCATAACTCCTAAGCCAAAAAGTATAGGAACTAGAAGAAAAAGAATAATCTTCTCTCCAGGAACACCTGAAAAACATTTCAACAAACAGACAAAGGTCACTCATAGCCCCCCACCCACTTTCCCCCTGTGGGATGCCACGGCTTCATGGTGGCATCTACACAGCCCAGAATTGACAGGGTTAGTCCTGTGGCAGTCACTGCCAATTAAGGGTTTTGTAGCCTTGTTCTGCCACCCGTTCTACATCAGCTGCCATGTTCCCCTGCAGATGCTGGCCATAGGTGTGGCTAATGGGCCTCCTGCCCCCAATCTGCACAGCCTCCAGCCCCCTGCTAGGTTTGCCTCTGGGGTGTCTGTGCTGTGCAAGTAAGACTCTGCCTGCCCCTCTGCCTCCTGCACTCAGTGCCACCCCCTCTGCACCCACCCCTTCACTCTGCTCAGGCAGCCAAAATACCAAGCTATGTTCCTGTTATAAACCAAACCTGATTTCATAGCATCATAAATAAAAACCTCATCATCAACCCTGAAACAGCACAAGACACAACATCCTTTTCTGCCACAGGTAAAACAGGGGGACCATGGCAGCTTGCAGCTGCAAAAGTTGTTAAAAATATGCTTCAGACTTCCCAGGAAAAGGGGCACACTCCCTGCTTTAGAGGAAGGTCCCCCAGAGTCCATACTAATTAGACCAAGTATTTCTTCCTGACCACAAACATGGCAACAGCTCTGACCCTGAGCCAAGGAGCAAGACTCTCCAGCTAGAAACCTCTGGATTTAAATACCATCAAGGGCACTGACACACCCTAGACAAAAATCGCTAGCCATGGCTGCAGCCAGCACTCACTGCCTCTGAGGTAGGCATAAAAAAAACCTTGACATGTAAAGCATCAGGAGAGAAAAAAATATCCCTCCTGGCCTCATGCAGCAACCAGCAAAGCCCAGAAGCTTGGGAAATAACGATAGCAGACCACAGGCATAGGTCTGCCTAGATCATCTTTGACCAATGCCTGTGCAACCTCCTCTTGAACACCTCCAATGATGAAGGGTCTACAACTTTCCTAGGCTGTCTATTTTGCTGCTTCACTTTTCCAGCTGTGAAGAAGTTTTTCCTGATATCCAATCTAACCCTACTTTGCTGCAACTTCAAATCATTGGTCCATGTTCTACTCTCTGCAGCCAGAGAGATAAGATGTTTCCCTCTAATTTATGGCAGCCCTTCAAGTATCTGAAGGGTACATTGCATCTCCTCTTCAGCATCTTTACCACAAGCTGAACATACCTACCTCCTTAAATCTCTCCTTGTATGACTTTCCTCCCTAATCCTTCATTATTTTTGTTGCCTACCTCTGAAATCTCTTTAACACTCTACAGTGCCAACAAGAGAGACTCTATAACCTTCTGTCTTACACGCAATGCTTCTATGGATGCATCCCTTTTGTGTGGCTGCATCACACTGCAGATGCATATTGAGTCTGTGTTCTAGCTAGACTCCTAGATCCTTCTCTGTAGTGCTGCCATCCAGCCAGGTATCACTCATTTGACATTTGTATTTTTTATTGTTCCTCCTGAGGTGCTGCACCCTGGATTTATCAGCATTGAATTTCATTCTGTTAACTCCAGCCCAGCTTTCTAATCTGTCAAGATCCTTCTGAATTGCACTCCCATCCTCCAAAGTGTTCACAAGCCTTCCCAGTTGCTTGTCATCTGCAAACTTATTCAAGAAACTTTCTATAGTGGCATCTGCATCACTAATAAACAAACTGAACAGCACTGGGCCCAGAACAGACCCCTGTGGGACTCCACTTTAAACTTCCTGTCATTCTGACATGGAGCCACTGATAACTGGATCTTTGCCCTTTGAGACTTTGCTTGAGACTGTTGAGCCAGTTCTCTATCCACTTTACAGTAGTTTTCTTCAGGCCATATTTCTCCAATTTGTTTATAAGGGCATGCAGCACCATTCTAAAACCTTGCAGAAATCCAGATACACTCACAGTATTCCCCTTATCCAAAGTAGTTACTTTGTGAAAGGAGATCAAGTTTGGTTGACATGATTTGTTCTAAATAACAAATCCAATTCCCTGGGATGAAGTTCAGCAAGCCCTACTGACTTAAATTCATCCTTGTCACGGGATGGGGGTCCTGCAGGATGGCCATGATCTCCCCAAGGCCCCTTACTGTACCAAGTTGTGCCGATGGGCACCCTCTATTCTCGCCCGCCACATCTTTGATGGTATGAATGATAGGGAGGCTGCCTCTAAGTCTTCTTGGACATGGTCTTGATCAACTCTCTGGACTCCATGGGTTTCCGGACCCCTGGTGGATCCAGCTCCAAGATAGATGTCACAATGGGTTTTTTGGGGCACCCTAGCCTTATGGGGTATGTGTGGCTCCAACCACCCTCTTTACTACGCCCCAAGCCTTGCAGATGGTACCGACGTTGTTTGGTCTGGGCCTTGTTGTAATTTGGCCCCCTTGTCCTCCCTGGGCCCTGCACAGCCCTGTCCTGCTCTGCGCCTCCCTGGTGCTTGGGCTCTCCACAGCCCTGTCCCACTCTGCGCCACCCTGGTGCTTGGGCTCTCCACAGCCCTGTCCTGCTCTGTGCCTTCCTGGTGCTTGGGCTCTCCGCAGCCCTTCAAAGTGCTGTACCCTCTCTGGCACTGGGGTCTGTGCACCCCAAATGCTGCACCCGCTCTGGCGCCAGGGTCCCCATGCTGGCCGTGGCCCTGCCCCACCCCACCGCCTATGAGGCCTCCTCCATCCCCTAATAGCCTCACCCAAACCACCAGTGTTATACAACAATAAACAAAACACAAGCCCCTGGGCTGTAACATAAATTCAAGCTGCCCAGCTATAACATCATTCAAACCCTACCAGGGAATACTCCGTTCCTCAACAGTATCAGAAGCTGTCCCTGCAGTCAGGCCTCTCCCCTTTGTTTGCTCCAGGAGAGCTCCTTCTCCCTTGGCTATCGGCAGGGAACTGCCCTACCTGGTCCCAGCCCTAGGGTTTATATATGAGCCAGGCCCTGCCCCTTCCGGTCAGTTGACCGCTGGCAGATGTGGGCCACTACCTTGTTCTGGCTGCCCTTGTAACCAGCAGCTGGGGCTTCTAACTCACTGATAGGGCTCTTCCCCTAGTGCTTTCAGCTCTTTAAAGGAGCAGGGAACCCTAGTGCCCTGCGACAATCCTGATCCTGATCCATCAAAAGCTTTCTGAACATCTCTTTTGTCATCTCATCCCTCAACATCTCCACTTTTTTATCCAAATAATCTTTATGAAGTATCTGGTTGCAGTCAACATTTTTTTTTGTGAAAACTGAGGCAAAGTAGCTATTGAGTAGCTCCACCTTCTTTCACCTTCTGTTACGAGTTCCCTGTGGTTATCTAACAGTGGACCCACAGCATCCTTGGCCTTTCGTTTCAAGCCAGCATATTTATAGAACCTCTTCTTGTCATCTGTAGCCTCCCTCACCAGGTGCAGCTTCTTCTTTTTCTTAGCCTTCCAGATTTTTCCCAGAGGGCTCTTGCTTTTTTGTTGTATGCTTCCTTGGTGACCTTCCCATCTTTCCATTACCCATATGCTTTCCTTTTTCAATTGAAGCATCCTAGAAGCATGTTTTGCTGCCACATTGGTCTCTTACTATTCTTTGTGTGATTCCATTGCGTCAACTATTTCATGCCGGGCTTCCAATACTGTGTCCTTCAGAAGCTCACAACCCTCCTGGCCACCATTATCCTTCAGTTTGTCTTCCCAGGGCACCATGGCTGTTAACTCCTTGAGTCAGCTGAAATCCACCTTTCTGAAATCTGGCCTCCTTGTTCTGCTGGCCTCATGTTCTCCCTGTCTTGGGATCTGGAATCCTATCATGTCATGATCACTTCCTCACCATGTTGTCCATTACTTTCACATCGTCCACCAATTCTTTCCTATTGGTCAAAACAAGATCCAAGATTGATGATCCCCTAGTTCTGGGACAGAAAGTTGTCTTCCACACAGCTTAAGAACTGACTTGACATTTTATATTTGCCTAAATTGTTCTTCCAGAAGACGGTTGGAAAACTGAAGTCTCTTATCAGTATCACCTTATAGCGCAAATATGCTCTTTCTAGTTCTGGTCAGATGCATCCCAAATCTTAACAGAAGTCCTTCTCCCCAGATCCCATTGTCAAAGAACATCTGCCATTTCTGTCAAGTTTTTTGTTATTCCCAGAGCAGAGGGATAAGCTTCAAATAACAGGTGATTTCTGAGCTGCTCGCTTGCCTCATCAGCTCCTCTAAAATGTGACTTGCCACCTAAGATGCTATTCTTTCTGTTCACCAAATGAAATGCCAATGCCAAGACTTGGTAAAATGCAGAATAAAAATTGATGAGCTGCAAATTACAAATAGTGAATAGCCTTACTTATCTGCTATTCATTGCCAAGATAAACATGGTAGAGTAAATGTGAATGCTTACTTTGCAGTACTGAGCTATCAGTGTTCACAGATGTGTTTTGAGAATTAATGAGTGGTCTTATCGTGTTTTGAAAGAACCAGATAGGTATTAATTTTGAAGGTTCTTGTTAGATATGAAGATCCCATGAGCACTCACCATTACTGGTGTTTGTCTATTATAACTGGAATAAAAATGGAAAACCTTCTGAGGGGTTCAACATTGTATCTGTCACAGTTTTCAATTTGGTTTTTTATCAACTCATAAATATTTTATTTTCAATCCTTTTCTTTGCATCTTCCTCTAAGAATCATTTTTAGCAAAAGAATATTTTGTTATTTTGATACAAATCATATATTGGAGTAGTCACAAAAAAATAGAAAATTAATCCACGCTGACAATATTAAAAATGATTTCTAAAATAAAGCTCTTTGTGGAAGAAAAACAAATTATCGTGTGAAAATGTTTCAGAAATCTAACCACATCTTTCTAAAATCCTTTTGCTATGACAGAACAGTTAATTTAAGAAAATCCCAATCCCAGTATATGCCAGACTTGCACCCAAAGAGCCTTCAAGTCATCTGATCTGTGCCCACTGTGTCTGTACATTAGGGTGTTTCTGGGTCTGCTAACTGGAGGAAAACCAATCAGGTGGTAGATTCCATTGTGGTCAGTGTCAAGCAGGTACTTGCAAATACAAGCCTGCAACTACATTGTATCCTACCCGACTTTATCAGTCCAGCCTACCTCCATATTCTTGTTCTTGTCTGTTATCATCTTCTTGATAAACTATCTTCTCTTTAATTCCCTCAGGATGGTCAGGATGGTCCATTACACAAGTCAGCCTTTCGAGGTGTTCCAAGGAGAAGTTGCAAACATTTGTCACCATAACTGTTCCATCTGCATTGTGAACGCTGCCAACCTGAGGGCGATGATCAGTCAGGACTCCCTCAGGTCGCCAGGTGATTTTGGGGGCAGGCCTTCCAGTAGCCGAGCAAATTGCAGTGAGGATCCCCTGGCTAATGAAATTTACGAGGAGCTTGGTTCTGATTTCTGAAACAGCTAAAAGCAGAAACGAAATGTGACTGATATGAGAATGTTCCTTTAGAGCTTGTTAAATAGTGTTATAGGTTTGCTTAAATGTTACTGGCATTAATGGGCATCTTACCTACTTAGTTTCTAAAGGTCCTTATTGGCTTCTGTACATTTATCGGGAATAAAAAGCTCAGGTTTTGGAGGTTTGGAGACAATTCCTCTCCCATCAGTCTAAGTGAAATCTTACTCAGAAACTGCTGCATTAACTTCTAAGTAAAAATTATCCATGTCAGGGGAAAGTCCCTTTGGAAACTGGATATAGAATCGAAGGCAAGCGGAGAATGTCCAGTCCATCTGGCTGAATTAAGCTGATCAGCAATGTATATATATGTTAATGCTGGTAAGTGACAGTAATCACTAACTGTTTAAATTGCATAAGATTTTCCATTATCAACACTTATATTTATGTGCTCTAGGACCTGTATCATTTGCTGCTGCTTTTGAAATTCAACCATGCAAAGGCTCTAAGAGTAGTAAAATGCATTGTTCTTTCTTCCAAGAAACATGTTTACTTTTTTGAGTTATCAGCTGGCAGCAATGACTGCTTCTCTTTTCCTGCTCATCAATGTGATAACCAATGAGCATTAACAACAGGGTTACATCATTGCCATAGGAGACACAATGGAGTGGAAATATTTGTGAGCAAACACAGGAGGGCCTGGAGGAGAGTTAAAACAAATACAGACCGCCAGACATACTCCTAGACCAGGTTCATGGCTTCCAGGCACCCTATACTCCAAATCCCAGCCCCAATACATAGTTCAAAACCTTACACTTCATAAGGAAAAATAACAGAGAAAGTTGGACCAGGGGTGGTATCTACTCTCTGGAAGTGGCACATGGTACCAGCATTATGTTCTTTGCAGAGGCTGATAGGTGGCGTATGCTGCTGGCTTATGTAGTCCCTATTGTTCAGTGGTTTTGAAACTTCCTGAAGTTACAGAACCCATTCATATTGCTTTGTCTGCTGCAAATCTCTCACTCCTGGCTCTGTGGGCAGTGTTACCTATTGTGGAGCCAGGTAACATGGCCCTGCAGTGCTGGCACACTGCCTCCCAGCCCTCTCCACCACTACCCCCAGCCTTTTTGCAGAACCCCTGGTGACCTATCGCAGAACCCCACAGTCCTGCAGACCAGTTTTAAAGCCACTGCCAGAGCTGAAGCAATCTGGGCTGTAACAGGGAAAGCTCAGGATTTAAGTTCTACTGACCTGTACCCATTATAATACTATTTCTATTAAATATTTGTATTAAACAATATTTTCTATTAAATAGTTTTATTAAACAAAAGCAATTTCCTCAAAAACTTTGTTGAGGGAAAGCTGCTTATTCTTTATTCTGTGTTAAATTTCCAAATGAAGCCTTGCAAAAGAGATTTTGAGTACTTGATTCATGGCACAGATCAGATGTCCAGTGGGGCAGGAAATATTTTATCTGGCAGCAGTTAAGGTTGTTTCCTACCTCAAGTGTCTGGCATTGCAAACCAACTTTTTGTGTAGATATTTTGTATATGTCTGTACCCAAATCAGTTGGCAGAAGTTTACGAACTGAGACAATATACTATATTTCATGTCTAAAAAGTTATCATAGAGATTAAATAGCAAACATTTATTTCTTAATTAATGAATTCACAAGGAAGGCAACTCCATGGATATTTCCAGTCTCCTGCCAAGAGGGACTATAACGCTAAAGAAAAAGGGTACAACTTTACCTTGTACAGTTAGGTGGGTGTTTCTACTGAAAGAACCATGTGGAAATGCGTTGAAGAGGCATTTATAATCTCCTTCATCCTGTAGCGTCACATTGGGGAGAGTGATGGATGATGCATTCAGTCTTGTATCTGTAAATAGGACTCTGTTCTGAAGTAATCCCACAGATTTAGGTCTGTGTCTCTTGCTGTAGGTGGCTATGTTCTGGAATGAAGGTCCTATCCTCTTCTGCCAGGTTATTTGTAGAATATCTAGAGGAAGGGTGAAGTTACAGCTGAGGGTCACATTTTCACCAATGGCTACCGCAGGAACCATTTCACACTGCACTGCTTCTTTAAAACCTGGAAACAAGCCCAAATCAAGAGCAAATTAAATATTAATTCATGAAAGGTGCAACACCCTGTGGGACAAGAGGTCACAAGAGCATGCATTTCATGCAGTCCCAAACAGAAGAGCCTTTATTATATTCCTTTGTCTGCCCTTTAAACAAGCTACTTGTTCTCTCTCTCTACATATGGAGGTTCTCCGCAATTAGCTTATCCTCTGGCTCATTTTGCCAGTTCTGCCAGAGATATATTAAGAGATCATAGAAATATTTGAATGAGTTTACAATACCACAAAAACATGACAGTTATGGGACCTGCCATCAGTGATACCCTTCTCTTTAAACTCCCACACAATTAATAACTCGGTCCTCACAAAAACAGAACATGTACAAAGCAGAGAGATGAGAAACTGGGCAGTGTTCTGCAAGGGATTTTGATACTGCCTCTTTTTGTCTCCCATAGGCACGGTATTAGACACCCTTGTCTGCTGAACTTCTCTATTTCATTAGCTAAGCACAGAAGGAAGTTTGTGCTGTAAGGGCTAGAAAGAATATATTTAACATGTTTTTATTTTAAAAAGTGAGAAAGTGCAATTGATAATTGCATTATGTGAGAAGCTCTGACTTTTGGCATTTTCTTTCCCAGTTTCTGTGCCCACCACTCTAAGAGTCAGTCATTCCTCTTGTTATTGATTGAAAATGTTCTGACAGAACAGGACAACTCCTCTCAGTTGATGTACCTTATTCTCTGCCCTTTCTGGGACCAAATTTACCAGTGATCCCAGTCACATACCTGCAATATAAATAGGAGGATAAAAGGAAAAACCACCTACCTGTAACTGCAACCCAAAGCAGGCAAACATTACAAAGAAGAGGCATAGAGAACTTAAAGCACAAATCCCTCTGCAAACACATCGTATGGAATATTTTAACCTTCCTTTCCTGCAAGGAATCTGCAAGGAACGTCACTGTCAAAGAGATGGAGTTGAGAAAATTGGCGCCTTTTTGCCTGTTGGCGCCTTTTTCCCTATCATTTAGTACTGACCAATCAGGAGAGGCATGACACTGAAAACACTTGCTACATTATATCCTGTATTATGTCATGTGAATGGCTGTGGCGGGGGCCTTCTTGTACTTTGCTTCCTTCCTGTACTTTGTAACTGAGGCCAACTGTCACCAGAGGAGCTGGAATAATCATTAACCATTAATCAAACTACATAAATCAGCACAGTGTGATACCTATTCCCTTTCGCTTCTGAACAACAAACATTGTACATGGTTTCCCAGACAAAATAACCCCAAACCACGTCCACAATCAGCGTTTCCTAACACCACCTGCTATATCGATAGCGTCCCAAAAGGTGACAAGTTAAAGGGCCGGGCGTCTGTGGACAACTAACTTAATGGAAACAACTTGCCCTTGATTCATTCCCAGCTTCCCAGTCTTCTGACTTTCTTCTAAAGCTGGAAAAGCTGCTCTGTCAAACATTCTTTATTTGGTTTAGTAAATACTCACTCAGTGAAAGCTAAAGACATTTCAGACAGAAAAATGGCAAGCCAAAGCACTTCAGTTTTCAGGGGGTAGGTTCAAAATGTCTTTCTTATTTGAAACTTTATTTATTGTTGTATTATATTGTACTATATTACTTAGGGCTTCTATAGAAAAAAAGTACCAGCCCCATGAGGCATTCAGCCAGCATTTCTTAATAGAAATAGCTTGGTTTACTGCACTAGCTCCTAGTATTTAAATTCCAGGCTGCCACGTGTTTGAGGGGACTGAGCCCCGTTAGCCCCAGCTTTCTGCCACCTTTGGCTTGTGCATGCCTGCCACACATGTGCAGGTAAAATATCTGTTTTAAAGGAATATTCACAGAAGTACCAGGACCCATTTTAAAGATCAGTGGTAGTTCCATGAATATTACATGAAAAATCATATTTTACCTGTGCACGTGCCATGAATCTTCGACAAGAAATCCACCAGTTTCTCAGGGCCCTGCTCTGGAGAACTGAGGAAACTGAGGCAGGTAAGAGCATCCCAGGGTTTATTGCTGTGCCTTCATCTGTATCTTTTGTGCCCTGCCTCAAGGAGAGGGGGACAGTTTTAGAAATCCTCTTGAAACTTTGCAGGTATTTGTTTGCATGACCATATTTCCAAGGGGTCAAAATGCAAACATAGAAAGAAAAACAGTTCTGGGAAAATCTCAGCTGAATACTGGCTTGGAGGGTACAGCATCAGATGTGTGGGATCCCACAGCCAAAAAGGGATGTTTGACACATTCTGGACTCAGGGAACGTGCCAGAGAGGTAGGTTCTAAGAGAACTTTCAAAGGCTTTCAAAAGACAATCAACCATGTTGGTCTCTACACAACCATCTGGTGAGTGACCAGCAAGAAGGGTTTGATCACAGCTAGGACAGTATTAATTTTTCTTGGTTGGAAATGTGCATTTACTTAGCAGCTGTACAGTACCCAGTTCTTTAAAAGCTGACTGTCAGCTCTTATTAGCACTGCAGTGAAAACTACAGCCTGGCATGTTAACTCTGCATAACACTTCTGAAGACTCCTTAAAAGCAAGAATATTTGTCTGTGCTTCACCAAAGGCAAGAACAGAGGGGAGGGAACAGGGATTGTACTGGACCATTGTAAGCAAGTTGATATGAAACATTTATTCTACTTATTTTTTTCGTTCTAGTTCCTTTAGAGCCAAGATCATGGGAATGATTCCTATAATAATCAGAATAATCTAAAGTCTAAGAACAATAACCATCTTGTTTGCTTCAGAAACACCTGAAAAATAAAAAAAACAAACAAACAAAGCAGGTCATGGAGCAATGCCAGTGGGGGTCCTAGATAGTCAAGGTTCTTTGGCTAAATCTGTTATCTTTTATTAGACTGACTCAAATAGTTGGAAAAAATTATTCTTTGCAAGCTTGTGGGTTTAAATACCTTTTGTCAGGCTGAGGAAGCACCTGCAGTTCTTCCTGGATGGAATGAATAGTAAAGAGGCCAGAGGCTGGGTTGGTATGCATATAAGACAAGCAGTCAGCGAAGATGTAAATTGAGGAATCAGTGGGTGAGCGACAGGCTGGGGGGCAGTGGGGAAGAGGAGGGGGAAAGAATTATTGTAGCTGGTAAATAGTGGAGAGGTACCTGGGGACTCAGATGTCAGGCAGGTTATACTGTGTCATAAATCCAATGTCTACATTTAGTCCATGACTTTTTGTAGCCAGGGGGTTGATGAAGTGAAGTTCATAGGCTTAGCTGTGAAAAGTGTTTTGTAAATTCCCTTTGAGGATTAGAACTGTGAGACTGGAGAGAGAGGCTTTCTTGTGAGAAATGTGCCCCTAGTGCCAATTGGGTTTTCTTGTCCTTCATAGATTTCCGGCGTGTATTGATTCTGGTGCGCAGTTGTTGCTTGGTCTCTCCTATGTATTTTCCATCAGGGCATTTGGTGCATTGGATTACATTTCTGCAGGGGCAGCTGTAATAGCCAGGAATGGTGATGGTTCTATTGTGGGCTGCAGTAATTGTGGGAGGAGGGTGGAAATATATTGGCAGTTTTTACATTTCTTGTCATGGCACGGTCTGGATCCATTCAGTGTGTTTCAGGCCATAGGAAGTTTGCTGCTGGTGATGAGGTTAGTGAGGTTTGATGCTGCTTGTTTGAAGGCTAGAATGGGTGTTTCTGGGAAGATCTCTTTAAGAATTTGGTCTCCCTCTACTATGGGTTGTAATTGTTTGAGGATTTTCCATACAGGTTCAAGGGACTTCCTACAGCCCAAAACACACCAAATGGATCCAGACCATGCAATGACAAGAAATAACCCAAAAGCTTGCTAAGAATTTTTCCAACTATTTGAGGTAGTTTAATAAAAGATCTCAGATTTACTCAAAGAACCTTGTCTGCCTATGTCCTTGGACCAACACAACTACAACCTATACCAGTGTAACAGTGGAGGTCCTCACTTTTTAGGTTTTTTAGTTTTTTTTCCCACCAAGAGACCAGAATTCATGAACTACTGGGTGTGTCTATATGTGCCTCTACAGTGCCATTGTTACTGAATCATCATTTAGTACTTCCCTTAGGAAATACTAAAACCTAAGTACTACAGTGGTTTCTGAACCTACATTGGCTTCTGAATTGTTTATCTCCTCAATCAACTATTTCATAAGTAATTTGTAACCACAGTTGCAAAGTATTCTTTCTGCTCTCCATATAAATGATAAGATTTTATAAACTGACAAAAAGGACTGATAAATTGTGAACTATGGATATTATGTAACCTATTAATACTATGTAACCTTGTTTCATTCCAAGCTTGCTTTTGCATGCACTTTATTCCCAAGCTATGACTGGTATCAGCGAACCTGAATACTGACTTTGCAGGATTCAGCTAACTACAGTAACACTTATCCATGTGTAGGTGTAGGGAGGGGAAGGTCCCAGCCTTCTGCCCCAATCTGCTGGTGGGGCAGTTAGCAGCAAGCTCCTGGCTGGGCAGGGATTCCCTGCCCAGTTGTGGGCTCACTGCTAGCTGTCCCACTGACAGATCAGAGCTGGGGGCTGGGACCTGCCCCACCCCTGCAGCTCTTTCCAAGCTCTGTGCCTTGATCAGCTAATGAGGGCATGGAGCTGGGACCTGCCCCTGACTGGGACAGTTGCCAGCCCCCACTCGATGATCATGGGGTAGGGGTTGGAGAGCCTTTTCCCTACCCAGCTCCATGATTGCAGAGCTGGGTGGGGATCAGGCTGGAGAGCCTATTCCCTGTCCAGCTGTGCACCTGTTCCTCAGCCAACTCCATGATCCTGAAGCTGGACAGGGAACAGGTTCCGCAGCCCCTACTGGCAAGGAGCTCCCTGCCCCAGGGAGCTGCCTACTGCTGGGATGGGCTCTACCAATGGAGCCCAGATGGGTACTATGTCCCCCTACTCTGGCAGCAGAGAGCTCCCAGATCACAACTGGGGTACAGAGGTTGGGAGATCCTTAACTTCCAGCTGAAGCTCCATGGTCAAGGGCATGAGCTGGGAGATCCTTCTCTCCCAGCACTAGCTCTGTGATTGCAGGGCTAGCACTGAGAGAAGAATCTCCCAGCTTGAGCTCTACAACTGCAGAGCTGGCGCTGGGAGAGTAGGATCTTCCAGCCCAAGCCCCATGACTGTGGAGCTCAGGCTGGAGATAAGGATCTCCCAGCCCTCTCTCCTCTATCTTGCAGCAGGGGCTGGGATTTTGAGATTGGAGGAGAAATGGGTGGAACCAAAGGAGGGACATAGGCTGGGTAAATGTTAATATGTATGAACCTAGGTGTATAAAATGTAAAAAGAACTAATGTTCAATGCAGGTTCCCGGTTTGTTTTTTTGGGACCTGGCCCGAAGCTGTCTCCATTCTGAATAAAGCTGTTGCAAGCAATGTGTGCTGGTGTTTGCTCCCTGCTTGCTCTGGCAAATGAGTACCAGGATCCATGAGCAATTGTACTGTCATCTCCCTAGTCGTTGGGCGCCGCATGCAGTCGGGGTCTAACAATATTAATTTGGAAAGACTTCTTTGAGGTGACTTTGCTGGACTTTTTGAAGGGCTCTTGGTTGGACTTTTTGAAGGGTTCATGGCTGGTCTCTTCTCAGGAGGCTTGGCTGCAGGTTTTTCTGGAGTCTTGTCTGCTTTTTTAAAGAAAGAGTCCAAGGAAGCTTAGACAGATATTCTCCAGGGAGATGAGCGACCCAGCAAACTTGTTTGCTGGTGTGGCGTCGGATCCAGCTGTGAAGTTGTAAAGTTGAAACTAAGGTCAGAAAATTGAAACAGGGTGTCAATTTATAAATGTTGCAAGTGCAAAACACTAACTCAAAACATTGTAAATCAAGGACTGCCTGTATCCTATTCCCTCTTTATGTCAGACTCCCTTCTCTCTTCAGTTCCCAGTATCTCTGTGTAATTGATCTAGCACCAGGAGCAAGGAAGCAAAAGACT